GTACTCTGAAGGTTAATGTATCTTTAAATACACTCTTCCTTTATAAGTCATACAATTGATGTCATTCTTCTAAAGGAAACTTGGTTGTCACAAAATAAAAATTTATATATTAAAGGTTTTAATAATGTTAGGAGTTGACCGACGTGATGGCTATGGAGGCGTTGTTGTTTTAGTTGCAAACAACATTTATAAACAACATATGTATAACAACAAATATAGAGGTTTGCAGTGTTTTTCTAGAACAAGTAAAATTATCAATACTATGTGTATACAAACCTACTAAAATATATGTCTCATCCAAAGATTGGGAAAATTTATTTGGACAAATTAAAGGCAGAGTTTTAATTGGGGGCGACTTTAATAGTCATCACTGTAGGTAGGGTTCCATACAGGATAGTGCACAAGATAATATTTCAGCTGACGCTTTAAAAAATACTAATCTAATTATGATCTAACTCAATGACGGAAGACCAACCAAAATATCCAGACCAAATAAACGTCCCTCAATAATAGACTTAACATTAGTATCTCCTTATTTAACAGGCTTTAATACCTAGAATCCTCTAAATCTCACTAGGTACAATCCACATCCCTATCCAAATTACCATAGATTTGAAATATTGTCCAAGAACTATCCATACCTCCACAAAATTACAATAGTCGTCAGCGGACTGGTCTTAATTTGAAAATTACTTAGAAAAATACCTTCACAGACACTAATTATATAGAATATAGATACAACAAATAGAAAGAAGGAAGATCTTAAATAAATCTAACAAAAGGAGAACCGACGAATATAGAGAACTTAATAGGCAGATTAGAAAAGGAATCAGACAACAAAAAAGAAAAGAAAACGAAAAATTAATAACAACAACTATTGAAACAAATAAGAGTATGAAATGCCTCAGACCGACACTAGGACGACGTCAGATGATATCATTAATAGGAAAAGACGAAAAGAAATCACAAGTAGAGAAAACATACTGACACGAATAGAAGAATTTTACACAGAACTTTACAGATCACATCAACAAGATGATGAGATGAGACCAGCACGGAAATTAATAAAAAATGTTGGATCAAAAATAATGCCAAAAGTAACAATTTCCGAGGTAACTACAGCATTGGAAAACATAAAGAGAAATAAAGCTGCAGGAGAAGATAGTATTACCACAGATATGATATTAGAAGAAGGTAAGGAACTAATTGCAATTGTAACTAAGCTTGTGGACAGTTGTTTACATCAGGGCAAAGTCCCTAAGAGCTGGAACAACTCTAAAGTACTCTTATTACACAAGAAAGGTGATAGTCGAAAATTGTAAAACTACAGACCCATCAGCCTACTGTCACACCTGTTTAAAATACTCACCAAAGTCATAACTACTCGACTAACAAGGAAATTAGACGAATACCAACCATATGAACAGGCAGGTTTTAGAAAAGGCTATTTAACTTCCGATCACCTGTTAACCACAAAAATATTAATAGAAAAATGTAACGAATACAAGTTTCCAGTTTTCCTAGCATTTGTAGACTACGAAAAAGCTTTCGATACCATAGAACACATGGCCGTAATAAACGCAATGCAAAATTGTAGAATAGACAGCAGATATATTAACTTAATAAAAGAAACTATGAACCAAGCTACAGCTACATACTACCTAAATGAAAATGAACACACGAACCCTGTACCATTAAACAGGGGAGTCAAACAGGGAGATACTTTATCACCCAAACTGTTCACCTTAGTTTTGTAAGATGTTTTTAAAAACCTAAATTGGAAATATAAGGGAATAAACATCAATGGCCGCTACCTCAGTAATCTACGATTTGCAGATGACATAATCCTGATAGCTACTGACCTACAAGAAATGCAAACCATGCTTGTAGAACTACATACCGAATCTTCTAAAATAGGACTGAAAATGAATTTAAACAAAACAAAAGTCATGCACTCCGAAGACACCGTGACAATAATAAACGATAAAGTTATAGAAAAAGTTGAAGAATATATATACTTGGGACAAATAATTCTAAATAGGGAAATTCAGACTGAAAAAATAAAAAGAAGAAGAAAGTTAGCTTGGGCAGCATTCGGTAAACTAAACTATATACTCAGAAATCAACAAATTCTATTACATCTTAGATCTAAAGTTTTTGATGCATGCATTATTCCGATATTAACTTATGCGGCACAAACATGGACAATCACAAAAAAGAATATGAATATACTTAGAGTCACTCAACACGCGATGGAAAGAGCAATTCTAGGTATATCACTTAAGGACAAGAAAACAATCACATGGATAAAACAGAAAACCAAAGTCACCCACGTGGTGCAAAAATCATTAAAGTTGAAATGGGAATACGCTGGACATGTAGCTAGGAGCGATCTAAACAAATGGCACAGATCAATTTTAACCTGGAGACCATACCAACACAAAAGACCCAGAGGCAGACCTCCTATGAGATGGACAGATGATCTGAAAAGGACTGCCGGGAAAAATTGGCTACAAGTAGCGTACAATAAAAAACAATGGAAAGGAAGAGTTGAAGAGGCTTATGTTCAGATGTGGACGTGAATGGCTAGACAAAGAAGAAGAAGAAGAACAAAGACAAAACTCTCTCATCGTCTTATTGACCTATTTCTCTATTGTCTTGTATAACAAAAACTTTTGAAAGAAACCTCTCTTTAGCAACCGAACTTGAGACTATCAGAGACCATAGTAATCAGTTACATGGTATAAGAATAGCTCATACAGGATTACCACAGGGGTCTGTATTAAGCCCAATTCTGTTCAACATATTTTCGGCAAGTATACACGACATTTTTGTTAATTCCATAAAATGTATACAGTACGCCGATGATATATGTATTTACTCCTATATATAAGTGATTCATATGACAATTATGTGGAGGTCCTGCAACACATCATAAAACTAGTGGATAATTGGACTAAAGACCATGAACTTACTATATCCCCAGAAAAATCTGCAATTATGATATTTACAAGACATGGGATACATACGCATGATAGTCTACACCTGTCAGGATATGATATACCCGTTGTCACTGAGTTTGAATATCTTGGTATAATCCTAGACCTTAAATTACTATGGTTTAAACATGTTCAATATGTAAAAAAAAGATGTGAGGAAATGGAGTGCTGATCCCAAAGTTGCATTGATGTTTTTTAGGACCTACGTGCGATCAATTTTGGATTACAGACGTGTGTTATACGGATCAGCAAGCAATACATAATTACTAAAAATAGATCGTATTCAGTTTAAAAGTTTCAGATTAACTTTGGGTGCTATGAAATCAACACCATGCCCTGGTGGTTTACTAAGTATGCTGTATGAATTATCCGTACAAAATCTAGTAAAGAATTATTGGGGAATAAAAAATTCACCACCATTAGCAGATGCCTTTCTTTAAACCAATGATTTACCGATTACACTTTCAACAAATTTTATTAAACCATCTTATAAATTAGAATTTAATACAACTTTCAATTTATACAGATGGCTCTAAACTGGACGATGGGAAAGTAGTGTCTGTAGTGTATATTCCTTCCAAAAACAAATCACTTAAAATAAAGCTTCCCCACATTGCTCTATTTACACTGCAGAAGAGGTAGCTAATAGGAAAGCTCTGTATTGGCTAGAGCACGCAAATTTGCAAGATGCTGTGATCATCTCAGACTCTAAGTCAATTCTTAGTGAACTTAATAATACTGAGGTAAACCATAAAACATGTGAGCTGATATGTGACATTAAACAATAAATGAGAAACAAATATGTAACATTTATTTGAGCAGAAAGTCACTCCGGGATAAAAGGTAATGAAATAGTAGACGAGCTTGCTGAGGATTATACTCATTCAGGTATACAAGAACATATTTACACAGTATCAGATCTTATCAATTTTTATAATAAAAAAATAAACTGGCAGTTAGGCACAGATGGAAAATATTGGCGAATACTTTTAATAACCATTAGTATAAGATCCATCCTACGTTACCATCTCTAACAGAATTACCACACACATTCCATTATAATATATCAAAACGATCAGCAGCAACTATCGTAAGATTAAAAACTAGTTACGGTGCTGTTCCTGCTCACCTGGCTAGATTAAACATTATAGAATCAGGAAAGTGTTTATGCGATAATATTTCCCAGTGTGATGTTAATCATATCCTGTTTGGATGTATTAAAAATAAAGCATTCTCATCTACATTTTATGAAAACCTAGTTAAAAGTAATGTGCAACTTCCAGTAAACGTAACCCACCTACTATCACTGAATCAGAAATCTATATACGAACTCATATGTAATCACTTATATGCACTCGGATATATAATATAAATTTAGTATAATCAAGTTTTAATTGATAAACATAACATAAATAATTTAAAAATCTGTGGCAAAAGGACTAGTTTCCATGCCAAACACACTATCATCATCCTCATCAACTTAAACTTATTCTTAAACTAGTTCGTAAAGTTTTATTATGCAATTTGCAATTTAGTTAAATTTTGCAATGGATTGTATATTTTTTTATCTTATTATCTTTTATTTTGTAATACTGACGATTTATGTAATTTTATTAAATTTTAATTGCTATTTGTTGTCATTGTTATTTTTTCGACTTTTTGTAAGCTTTGTCCATAAAATTGCATTTTCAGTGACAATAAAGCATATTTTTATTATATTCTATTCTATAACTCCTAAGCGTAAAAAGTGTTCTACCTGTAAAATCCCCATATGAGTTAATACTAATATTTATATTTCATTACATGGCTAAAAGTTCCAAACCAAGGAAAAAATACAAAAAAACTTCCTTTAATACATATTTAATAAATTGAGATGATTCATAAATATTTATATTTTAAAGCATATATTAAAATTATACCTTTTAAAATAACAAAGGTCTGCTAAAACCAATTATCTTTTTGTGCTTCACACAAAGTTATAATATGTCCAATTTTTTTCAGAACACCGTTGATACAAGTCTTAGTTGTCCAAGCACGTACACTCATACACCGAACGAAGAACAATAAAGTGACTTTAATTAGGCTGACCATGATGGAACACCGATAGAGCCGTTAGATCGTGATTAAAAACATAACGAACTCCCATTTTATCAGGAGCGAAAGATTGGGATACAAAAAACTCCGTTGAGGAATGCTTTCATACCGTCATGCAGGTAAGTTGGAAATACGTTGATTGCTTTTTGTACGGTTGGATTTAATATTCATATTCAAGAGAATAATTTACCTGATGCGTAAAAGAAATGAAAAAAAAATCCTCATCTGAACGTGAAACAGCTGTTATCTAATATCCATCGTTGTTTTTCTTTCGATTATCCCCTTTGGAATAATTTCAAATTATAATATAATGGTTGTGTAGATTTGGTATAGTAAAAATTACAAAAAAAGTACAAAAATTGTAGGCAGCTTTTAACTCAACATTTTAAAATTAGTTACAATCTTACAGGGTGTTCCATAAGATGGTGGCACACCAAAATTATGTTTTTTTTAAGGAACACCTATATTTTATTTTTAATTTAAAATCTGTTTTACTTTCACATCACAACAATGTAAAGTTTTATTATCTTATACCGAGTATTTAAAAATATTATATAATTATATAACCAATATTACCTGAAAATCGTATCATGTTTTACTACCTGTATAATTAATAAGGAGTAAAGGAACATTGATCTATTACAACCATAGTTTTTTAATAATTGTTAAATATAATAAAACATTCGTTTTTAAAATATTCGTTAAATCAAATACAGGGTAAGTCAAAATGCAAGTACTTACATTAATTTCTTGGAAATTTTAAATAGAGCACTCTGTATATATTTGTTCACGTATATTAAGTGAAACCTCTTCTAATAATATCGGTAAGTGATTTACGATAAAATCTAAATAAATCTTACCACAAAAAAAATATGGTCCTACTGCATGGTCACCGACGATACCTCCCCACATATTTAGAGACCATCTTGTTTGTTTGACTATGTGTATGTGGTATGGATTACTTGTTAAAAAGTAAAAGTTATGCTTATTAACAGAACCGTTTCGATGGAATGTAGCTTCATCAGCAAATAGGATATAATCAAAAAATCTCTCTGCTCATTAATTTTTTCTAAGGCGTGTTCACAAAATACTATTCGTTTCTGAAAATCTTCATTATTTAATTCTTGGTGCGTTTGAATATGATAAGCGTGCATCTTGTTTTTAGCAGTACTGTAACTGCCATCAACACACTCATTTCGTTTTCCTCTATCACACTAGTTTTTGTTCGTTCATGTTTTTCTTAATTTACTGAACCAGTGCCGTTAGATCGATCTTTCAATTTTTCAAATATATCTTGTCTAGGTTGCGGCCTATCTGGAAACCATTCATGAATAATTCTAGCTGATCGTAATGAATTTTTATTACATTCCCCCAATATCCAGATCATATCTACCATGTGAACAGTGGTAAAGTTCATTGTTGCTAATTTAAATTAAATTAATTACTTAAGTAATGTACTGTAGTAATTAATTAATCACTCACAATAATTATTGGCAAAAGTTACAGTATCAACCAAATAAATACTTTGATGGACAAATAAAAATATCTAACAAACTGATAACTTTATATATAGCAAGTATTTAATAAAATTTGAAGTATCATATTAGTACTTTTTGATAGTGATATAAAATACCGGGTGTTCCATTTAAAATTGTCAAGAAAATAATGTACCTGCATTTTAACTTACCCTGTATTTGATTTAACGAATATTATAAAAACGAATGTTTTTACTTCCTTTTAATTATACTGGCAGTTAAACTTGAGACGATTTTCAGGTAATATTTGTTATAACTTTCGTTATAACCAATATAACTTTGGTATATATGGATAAGACTCCCATAGATAGGACTTCCATAACGATTTCTCCATCAATGTTAAGAATGACATTAAGAATCTAAGCAATATACCTATACCACTTCTTACTTAAATCAGATACCAAGAACAATACAACATCACATATAACTAACTTGACTGATATATCCATTAACAACTAACCTACTTTAATAATAATTTTCATTAACTAAAAAAGATAACATTTCCTTTCTTTACTTAGATACATCTCAATAAGATATTATAATAATACATAAACAATATAATATAATTAAAAAAAATTCAATCACGAAAATCTAAAATAATATTTCCCCAAACTGGGATTTAACTTCATTCGGTTTTACCAATGAACCTTAACGACATAAAGATTCAAAAGTACTACTTGAATTGTCAGCACATGCGTTCTGATTCAACTGAACCTCCCATTTAAACTTTCTAACAATCAAAAATTTAGTTATTGCCGACAATTCAAAGAATTACTTCCTTTTAAATGTAGTTTATATTGGGTTTTTCGATTAACCTTGGGTAAACCTTTGCGTTTTAAGTTCAAAGCTACCATACATTTCCAACGTTAAAAAAAAACTTTTTTTGCACATAGTAACAAAAAACACCACTATGTTGTTACTAGCTAAGTTTTTTAACATCCTAACTCTACAACTCTAAGTAACGGTAAGATCAATACTGTTTTTTAATAGGTAACATGGTAGCTAATTATAATTTATTTTCTTTCAGCCCTGAAGAAGCCAAATTAATTCTCTTTGGCGAAAACGTTCGGCGAAAAAATTGATACTCATTAGAGTCTTTCTTGCAGATTTCCCCAATATATAAGAGTTTACTATTTAGTTTATCTGCAAAGATTAAATTTCTTTTCTATATATATATATATATATATATATATATATATATATATATATATATAATTATATATAAATATATATATATATAATTATATATAATATATATATATATATATATATATATATATATATATATATAATAGATCAAAATCAAAATAAATTTTTTGTATGCGAAATACCATAAGACCATAAAAAAATATTAAAAACAAAATTACTGTTCTCCGAAACGTGTTCTCGGAGAACAGTGGACTTCAATAGTGAATAGTTTCTAAAAACAATTCGTATAGGAAAACCATTCTGGGGATTATTTAGAAAGTAAGTAATATTGTTTAAAATCTTAGAAATAAAATTATACATAATTGTGTATCAGATAAGAGTTTTAAATTAATGTTTAATAGACAATGGTTTGTATATTATTTTTCTTCGAAGGTAATGTTATGAATAAGACGATATCTTTTACAAATACGAATTTGCGTGTAGACATAAAAGAAATGTTAGTTGGTAATATTTTCTGTTAATTAAGAAAGTGGGTAAAACACGCTTGATTTCTTAAAATTTAAGGTGGAGGTACCAGATAACATTTTGGAAGAAATTGCATAATAGGTTGAGAGAAAGTGAACTACAGAAAGCTGTACGACTAGCAAGACCGAAAGTTTTAGAAGAAGCGCTCGCCATTGCCTTGGACCACAAAACAGCTAGTTAAGTTTCACAGCACGACATTGCAGGTCCATTTCCAGAAACGGATAATGGAAGTAACGGATTATTTTACGAAATGGAGTGAGACCAATGTCATACCAAATTAAGAAGCTGCTACCATTACAGAGATACGTGTTAAAAAATTCTTTAACCGATTTGGTGTTCCCTTGGAGATTCACTCCGACCAAAGGCGAAACTTCGGGTTAACCCTTTTCCAAAACGTTTGTAAATTGATTAATGTCAATAAGACCGGACGACACCTCTGCAGTCTCAATTAGATAGAAGGGTCGAGATGATAAACCGAACGATGGGAAAACACCTATCCAAAGTTGTATGAAACTACAGAACATTCATAAACTTGCCCGATAACACATCCAGCTAGCCAGTGACAAAATAAAAGATCAATATGATTCTCGATACAAGAATGAAAGCTATGAAGTAGGTGATATTGTTTGGCTTTATAATCCACAACGTCGTCAAGGCTGGTTTTTTAAATACAATGGCAGGGTCCGTATAAAATGAAAAAGCTATTAATTGACGTAATATACCGAAGTAAAAGGACAGCAACAGTTCTAGCCCAAAATCGTTCATTTTCCCATGTAAATCTCCATAAGAAAATCTACGGTTCATTCTGGTAATTTTTGACGCATTTTGTGATGAGAGTAAACGGCTCGTCGGATCGTGACGTAAGAAATATCATCGAAAAGGGGAGGGAGTAGCAAATACGATTAAATAAAAAATAAAGATCGCGGCGTTTTTTTAACACTAAGCTTGTAACGTCTAAACAGCTCAACGTACAACAACGTGCATGGTATCGATAGAAAGGGGAGGTGGTAGCGAATATGTTAAAACAAAAATCAAACGTAAAGACTTTGACAAATGGCACTATATCGTATCTCTATCATTATTCGTCAGATTACTACGCGTAACACGTTAAATACAAGAGGAGGGGATATCGAATACCTTAATTCAAAAACAAAGACATAGACATTGCCAAAACGACAATTCAACCTTGATTACACAATTAGATGAAAGAAAAATAAGAAATGGTATTATGAAGGAGAAAAAAATATAACACTCGATGACGAACATTTTATCGTAAACTTTTCGTCAAAGTAGAAACTAATATAAACAATATTAGGTGCATTCTATCTATGCAATATTTTCACCAATCTTTTATTTAAACTTATATTTTGTGAAACATGATAATTGTTCCCAGTCATACACTAAATTTATTTTGTTGTACAAAGGTATATTGTTAAAAACGCTAATTTATAACCTCGCTGTACGGATAGTTATTGATTTATTCTTTTATATAGTACAAAACATACGTTACTCTCTATTTACGAGAATGCGCGTCATATTTGCTGCTCTATCCAATCTTTTATGTTTGTTAATTGACAGGTGGATTTGCAAAAACTGTATGAAAATAAGCTAAATATTTTTGAGCAGAAATGTGAAACTTCGCTGTGAAATGTTGTAGTTGACAATGAATTATCAAAGACAATAATTTAATTACGATATGAATTTAATAGGTTGTGATCTTACATGGTCTCTCTATATAAGCGTGCTCTTTCTTAAATAAGCCAGGTCGTATTATAATAAATAAGTTTAATAAGTGCTGTATTAATAAAAGTTATTAGCTGAGATATTTTTTATATAATAAGCAGAAGTAATTAAGTTTAAAAATGTTTAAATGCAATATAGCTGGAAACGCTGAAGCGATTCCCGCAGCC